GGGGGGGGGGGGCATCAAGCTTGAATATTTAACCTTCTTTAGAAACGTTTGCCGCGTAGACGCCACCGGACACGGAGACCGCGTCGAAGCTCCCTGAGCACACGCGCGCGTTTCTGAAAGCGGGGTGCGCCAAAATGCGTTGCCGAATCGAACGAAGGGTGAGATCATCGTCTCGGAGTCGGCTCAATCGTCAACGACTTCGGCGGCAAGGCGTTCTCTGTACATGCGCGCGTTTCTGGGAGATGAGCGTCGTTCAAAAACATCGACTCTCGGTTTCACCAGAAGAAGAAGCGGGCAAGGACAAACAGCAGCCTATACGCGGGCACTGAAGTGACATCAATCCTTCATACGCGTGCTCTCCTCCGTCAAACGTCGGCAGTTTCGTTGGCCGTGTTGAGGAGCGGATCACACACCGTATATCAACTTCTCCCACCTTCACCACGCGCGCTGTGATGAGGGCACTTGCATCTCAGGACTGAGACGTAATTATAGTTCAGTCCATGTGCTTGGAACAAGTATCGCATGAAAATTCACCAACTTTTATCTCGTTCGAGTCTCATGAGAGTCTCGTGAAACATCTCATGATATGTCTCGTGAGATACAGATAGCGCCCGCAGTCAAGAAGCGTTAGCATGGGTCAAGCCTCAATCCCTTAATCTGGATCGAAGGATCAGCCGAAGTGATCCACTTCCTCAAAAGACACTTCTTATTTCTTTGGACTGTCGAATCCTCCTGATTCTCTTATTTCTTAAAAGTATTTCCTTGAAGCAGCTCGTACATGTATATTTTTCTGTCTTTCGATCTCTGAGGACAATCCACTTCAAGTCCTCACGAGGCGGTGTAGGCGGTGGAGAGTACCATCAGACCCGTACACAGCGGACAGCATGTGGTTGTCCGCGATGTGTGGCAGTACTACAACTGTACAGTACAGGACAGTGAGCAGTAGGGGCGCGGGGGGCGCCGCGCAGGTAATCACTCTCACTCCCCCCTACAAAAAAATGCACTGTTCAGCTAGGCAGGGGGTGGGAGCACCGAAGGAGCAGCAGTGTAACGTTTCTTACTGGACACTCTCTCCCTGCCACCCTTTGTTTCTCATGTCTTGGGTGCATCGCACCATCCATATTTGGACGTTTCTTGTGTTGTGACCGAGATTGAGCTGTGTTTCTTAGCCCTTTTTTCTTATCTCTCGTAAAAACCTGAGCCTGTTATTCTCAAAAAGATTTTTTCTTAACTGCGGGCGCCATCTGGATGACGCTAGGTCTCATGAGACGTCTCACGAGACACGTCTGTCTCACGAGACTCTCTCATGGGACTTTAGCAGTAAAGTCCATGGTTGGTTGTGGAAAATAACGTGAGGCGTCTCATGCGAAAAAAAAAAGGGAACGATGACCCTCCGCCAAACCCGGAGGCACTTGTATGTCATGCATGTAAGCAAACATGTTCGATGCACCCAGGGGGACGCCCATTGCACCCACACGTTGCAGTTCCCACCCATCCAGACCTGCACCAGCACCGTTTACCACCCAAGAGCGACCTAGCCCCACCCAAGACCTATCCCTGCTCCAAGCACCACCAACCTATTGTAGCACCTACCCACGCAGTAACAAGCTCGCACCCATCCACGCAGCAGTGAAAACCTAGATTTATTTGTTTGTCGAATCAATGCCAACTATCCAAGCAGTATGTACAGGGCAATGTCGGATATCTGAATATTACCTTTTCCACCGTCAACCACCGAAGGGAGTTTGGGCAAAAGCTGAAGTTGCTGTAATCTAGCCGAGAGCCGTTTCATGATTCACTCTTTTTGCTGCCGTTAAAGCAGAGAACCTTCGGGCGATAGCAGGAGTCAAGAGAAAGCAACTCTCGGCGAGACGTTTTTATCTAGTCTACATGGCAATTGGTCTACGCAAGTGTGTCCGCAGTTTGTTCGATTCGCGTGGAATGTACGCTCCAGTTGTCCAGGCCGGAGTGAAACAATAGAAGAGAGAGTCGTCGGGATGCGGTTGTTGTAAGATGCATTGCCTACTGTAGCTAGCGATGCGCTTGCCAGCGTTTCGAGTTTTTTCCTCGCTCGGGGATGAACCATGGAGGCCGTTTCTGGGCACCCCCCGAAAAATCCATCCAACCGTCGTCGGGTGAACCGCCTTTCATCGAGGGGAAGATGGTTGTGAAACACCCCCGCTGAGTGGCTCACGAGAAAGAAGTCGGACTGGTTGCCGCGGCTGATGCGTGCATGCGGCCCCTTCATGTCCCGCCCGGAAGTCCCTACAGAGGGGTTCTGCCGGCGGTTCTGCTGCCCTGCCGAATTAGTGTGCTGGAGGCGCGTTTCCACCACCTCCGTGAACTATGCTCGACGTGCTTCATGAACCAGGATTGGTTAGCCAGTTTGACTCTCAAGAGATTAATCGAAGTACAGATGATTGCGAGTATCCCTCAACTTCGATACACCAAGCAAGGCCTACCTCGTGCGAATGTCCAATATCCATCTCGATCGGTAGAAGCGAACCAACGCATAGCCCCCGAGCACGACGAAGCAGCACCCGACCACCAGCCTGAAGAGCGCCAAGGCTGCATACATGCAAGCACGGGCGGAAATGCGGCGCATTTATTGCTCTGACGGTTTTTGTCATGCGAGAGTCACGGATCAAGGACTGCGATAAAAAACGCCCGGCCATCGTGGTGACAACAGCATTAGCTATGTGCGATGACAATCGATCGCAAAACATGGTTGACATGTCTCTTTTCCTCTACCACACGCGTGTTACCTACCGCATATCTGCTTCGTCTCTCTCGGTCGTAGCAGTCGTGTGCTGACGTCCGAACGTATCCGTTTCTAATTCTATTCCAATACCTTGACTTGCATCGCAAACAATGCGAATAATTGCTCGCGGAGGTTGCAGTTAACAAATCCACAAAGGCGAGGTTGCTGGAGTGGGAACGGGTTGATTGTTGATTGACCCTGCCTGCGCATGCTTACAGAAGGCAGACAATCACGACACTGGACGGCACCTTGCTTGTTGCACACTGCACGCTCACGGAATTTCCAATCTTGACGTTGAAAATCGAGGGAGGATTATCCAATTTTACCCCACACGCACAAATCGTACCGCCGAAACAGGGTGGGAGAGCAGCCAGGTGTACAACTACAAGCAGTGCCTTCTGAAGGCACAGCTGTTCACTCTACTGCATCTATCCTTCTATCTCCCGCCTTACCCTTGTCCGTGGTTGTGTAGCTCGGGATGAAGCTTGACGGATCGAAGTCCCCATCCCCGAACCGTTGCTCCCAGTAGCTGGACGATCCCGTGCCTCCCCCGACATCAATCGAGGAAGGTGGACCACCGGCGCCACCGCTGCTAGATCCATCGACGTCATTGGAAGACGGTGGGCCACCGGTCATACTCGGTGTGGTGCTCCTTCACCTGTATCTGCTTGGTTCACCTCTCTTCAGGTCTCGGCTGAACTCACCTCAGATCCTCAGGCTCCAGATTTCAGCAAGCTGCTGCGTACCTGCGTACCGTGTGAAGAGGAAGAGAGAACGGAGATGTGCCAACGAGCTTTGGCTTTTGGTCTTTTCGTGCCGCAGGTGAAGAACAAGTGTTGTATGAGCGGAGCTGGTGCTTTTGGCCAATGAGAGAGCTGCATTCACCGGAATCAGTACATAATACTACTGCTGTGGAATACGGTTTTCCGGACTTCGGCGGCCCCGCTATCCGATAACCAGCTATGGTACAAAGTCCAGAGTCCAGAGTGGGTGTTATACACTCCAACACAAAAAGACAAGAGGCCACACCACAGGTTGTATTCTCCGCCGTCTTCCTCCTGTGCCTGCCTTTGGTTGATGGCAAGAAGTAAAAAGTCGACTACTACTATGCTACTGCTGCAGCTACTGCTGTAAAGCAGTAAAATACCACACGAAAATACAGCAGCCGTGAGCTACAGCAACAGTAGGTGCGTGCGTGGTGTGCTTGTCTGTGTGGGTCTGATGGCATGATGTTGTGGGAACAAGGTCTAGTTTATCTCACACAAACACTACATACGTACAGTCAAGGTTAGCGCGTGCCTGTGGCTGAGAGGGTCTATTCCCTGAACCAAAGCAAGCTGCACCCCTCTGGTCTAAACTACTTTCGCCAGTACTTTTTTTGGCATATTTTCTAGAGTCGGAAGGGGGGTTGTTTTCTGATGGAGACCTGTACTAAATGTACTATTTCGCTCAGTACAGCTGTACTAAATAAGCGCGATATACAGCTTGCCATACTCGCAAGAACAGTACGTTTGGTACAGGTCTCCATACTGCTGTACTGCTGTACTGGGGGTTCAGTCCGGCTCTCCACTCTGTGCTGAGCGCATTTAGCACGTTTAGTACGGCTCTCCATACTGCTGTACTACGCGAAGGAGTACGTTAAGCACAGGTCTTCATACTACAGTCAGTATAGAGAGCCCTACTAAACGTACCCTTCGCCTAGCACAGCAGTACCGAGAGCCGAACTTGCAATATGAACAGTCTATACATATAATATGCATGAAGCACCTGCAACAGCACTCACTCTCAGTTGAACATAAACATAAACATAGTACACACTGCTTGGATCAACCCCCCCCCGATGCTCCCTCGCCCCGTCCCTCCGTCTTAGAAATCATTGCTACTCACTACCTTCAACAACACCGGAAGGCAAGAAAAAAGAGCGGAAGTCAAAGTCGAAAGTCAAAGTCAAGTCAAGTCAACAACCCAACTTTCAAACGAAATATAATAGAGTAAGAGTTCGAACCCTAAACCCTCAATCCTCGTCCTCAACTGATCGCAAAAAAATCTGATCAGACTACCCATCTACCCATCCTCGCCAACGCCAATGACATCCTCCTGGGGGGGGTTGGTGTTTGACAGCGGGTCGAGCGCCATCTCTGCTTTGAGGAGATCGTCATTTTTCCGCTGAACTTTGCAGGGAGGCACTTCCCTATGTCCTTCCCGTCGATGTTGGGGATGGATGTCCTTGTACTCAGGAATAAACGAGTAGTTTCCTTTGAGGAACATCACGATTTCCAGCCAGTACTCGTCTACTCGGATGCGGTTCCCTACACAGAAAAGACCGCAGTGGCTGAAGTCTCTCTCGACCTGAGCGGCAGAGGCTTGACTGGCGAATGATTGCTGCGCCACATACTTGAGTGAGGGGAATGAATGTTTCCCTATGGTCTTCCAGTAGTTGAGGGCTTCGCTGGGCGGCAACTGGAAGGGTGAAGGACACGGAAGGGCCGCAGGATCGGGAAGATTTGTGTTGTTAGTGTTGTTCAAATTCGCAGCTTGCGACAACACATGGACAGTAACAATAATAAAAATGCCAAACAGCAGTAACACGCACACGTTCAATAGACTAGTCGTTGACTTAATGAAGACTCCCTTGTACCGCGTGGTCTCGCTCGAGACCTCCTCCTCAAGTCCACATCTCCTTCGCTGCTTTGGGGGGCGACTTCGTTGCGACCGAAAACTGCGAAGGCGTCCTTCCGATTCTTGCGACGAGATGGACCCGCGGCGCTAGTGCGGGCGCGCTCCAAAGGACCTGCCCCCCCGCCCTCACCACCACCCGCGGCCCGACTCTGCGCTGCCTTCACGGCTGCGACGGCTCGCTTCTTGATTTCGGCCCAAGCTCCATCCAGCTTCTCTTGCACCTTTTCGTCCAGCGTAGGGGCCGTCACGCACGACCTGCGGGCAAGTACTTGCCCTCCTCTGCTGTAAGCTTCATCGCGGAAAGGTAGTTCCCCTCACTGAACGGCAGTGTCAGGAGGCAGGCAGCATCGCATAACACCGAGGGGTCCAGGGTGGATGTGTCCCACACACGACTGTAGAACCTCGTCACGAGCGCGCGGCAGAGTTCGTTGCGCGCTTCTGTGCCACGGGGCGCAAGTCGTCGTGTGCTACCACCTTGTGCGGGAGAGCTTTCTTCTGTTCCTCGCGGTCCGGGAGGCTGTCTTCTCCAAGCGGCGGAATGTCGAAGACCTTGAGTTCCTCCGACGGGTCCAGCACTCGCATCTTCAGCATGCCACACTTCATGTAGATGTCCGCCAGCATCGGCGCACCCCCGTACTGGCCATCACGCGTGACGGAGGAAGGAGGCTGCAGCAGCGAGTAGAGCTGAAGGATGCAGTCCTTGTTGTCGCCCTCTTCGAGTGGAAACGTTTTTCCCGTGTCGCTGTAGAGTTTCCTCAAGACGTGCCACAAGCGGATGACGCGCTCCAGTGTGCGAACCAGGGTGAGCCACCGTTTAGGAGCTTGGTTGGGGATCTTCAAGACCTCGCCCAACACGTCCACCTGAAGGTCGTCGAACTTAGCCTTGAAGTTGGAAGACCTGTGGAGGGTCCCGACCAGATTGATGAGCTTCTTGAGCATGTCGCGCGCTTCTGGGTTCTTGGACTTCTGAGGGTCGACGTGGGTGCCAAAGCCGTCCTCAGCGGCCTTGACCATCAGGTGGCAAAAACACCAATTCCACAGAACCCCAAACTGCGGGTGGAGGCCGTTGAAGCTCACAGACTTGACGTCCGATCCACTGTCCGCAGTACCCGACGCGAGGTCCGATGTGCGCAAGCCGAACTCGTGCAGGATAGCCTTGACGATCTCGAGAAGCACCCCAGGCCTTGGCCTCTCCCAGAGCGTCCTGGGAGGGTTGGTAGCGCTTGATCTGGGCGGAAGCACGGGAACAGAAACGGAGGTGACAGAAAGGACGTTGCACTCAAGCTTTCTGTCAGGTGTTGGGGTTAGACAATATAGCCGTGGTCAGTGCGCAAGGAAAACACAAAAACAATTAATTTCACGTCCGTTGCGATCTCTCCGTGAAATACAAAGTGTAATGACAGAAGGCACCAATAGTCTAAACAATAAGCTAACCGATACCCTAACAAAACTCCAGTAGAAACCCCTGCTAAACCCTTATGTAGAAAGAAGTACGCGCCACATGTGTTTCAACAGAAGCAAGTCTTGAAGTGTCACGTCCAACACCAGGCCGGTTCATGTACTCATAGAGAGCAGGGTGTGCTTCATCTCGAAGTTGGCAGTCACGTGGAAAAGATGAACACCTAGGAACTTGCGCCCCGATCCTTTGTCAGTCCAGATGTCGATCATGTGGTGCAGAATGGGCAGAGGTGCATTTTTCACTTCCTCCAACATGTTGCTCATGACTGCCTGCGGTGAAACAGCGGTGTTGTGGGGCATGGAAATCAAACACAGCAGTTTGGGTATCAGAAAAAACGAAACGGACACGTCAAGCGTTGTGTTTGCTTGCTTTTCTGTATCATCGGTGACTTGAACGACAGCAAGTACTAAAGCTTAAAATCAAACTTCGCCGTAGAGGGGTTAACGTCTTTCACCAACTTCAATTTTTCAACTTTCACCTTCTTCGTGGCGATGTACATCTCGACGAGGAGGTCTTTCACACGCTCCGCAGGCAGCTCTGGGTACGGCGTGTTTCCTGCAGCGGTCGCCATCATCTCCTTGAACATCTTCCCCGCTGGACAAGAAGGAAAATGGCAGCATTTCTTCGACGACAAGCTTCACCGCCTGCAGTTCCTTCACCCTGGAGTACCACACAGACACAGTGAAGGCCGCATATTCCCATATTGGCATACCACACTACAAATAAGCGAATGAATGCACTATTAATATTACATGTCGCCTCAAGTGCAAAGTAGATTTTGTCCTTCCAAAAGACGACTTGATTCTGCCGCTGTACGTTGGGGGTTGGACGGGGGGNCATTCCGCGACTACATGAACACGGTCTTCGCATTCGAAGCCGCAGTCACATTTGAACTCGTCGTCTTCGTCGTCTACCGTCCTATGTCTCGTCGCCTACGTTCGGGGGGGGGTAAAAAACGCGGCACCTTACCCATCAACCAGGACATTTCATTCGCGCCGTCATGGTTCAGCCCCGTTTTCACCAACACGAGTAGTTTCCGCATGGACGGCACCGAAGGAGTGTACTTGCATGGTGCACACGAACATCGGCAACGATAAGCCTTTCGCATCATTTTTTGTATTTCTCCTTACGCTCATTGATGTGTTTTTCAATAGCGCTCATGTAGTTGTTTTCCACGGCACTTTCGATCAGGGGATTGCCGTTTATGTCGTGAAGAAAAATGCTTGCTCGGTAATACCTTGGGCACTGACCTCGTTGCTCGGTGTTCTTTTTTCCGAATACTGCCAGAAAGCAGGCGTGCAGCGCATGAAACGTCGGCAACTAGTTGTATCGAAGCATACTTCGGACAGCAGCAACGTCAATGATGTCCGAACCCCACCAGATCCCCTGTGCGAAGGGACAGAAACCTCAGGAACAGCAGCACCGTCACGGCATCAAAGTTGCTCCATTTGATCAGCAGAGATGAAAACAACGAAACAATTATCAACCCGTATCAAACTATGCTTTCAGACGCCATCTACCCGGGGACCCGTGATGCAAAAACAAGCAGGGCAGGGTCACCTTCAGCGCCCAAACGCCACACTTCTCCGTACTTGGCAAGCGCAACAACACGCTAAATGATGCAATCACCATGGTCGTCGCGACAGCTATTTTGTGTGGACCGCACAACGACAAGAGCGGTGTGGTGTAGAGGAGGCCCAAGGTGATGAGTGTACCACACACCCTGACAAGCCGACCTCTTTGACATGCGCTTGAGTCTAGGGAAAATCACGAGAAACCGTTGGTATCACTAAGAAGAGATCCCCATTTCGTTGCAGATATCGTTGCTGCATTCCAGTGCACTCGCGAAAACGCGGCAATCCCGCGAATGCAAGAGTGCTGAACCAAGCATACTGTCGCTCAACGTACTTACAGGGCAAGGGCACACAAGGCAGCCAAAGTTTGTTCTAACAACCATACATTCGCACTCAAGCCCACAGAAAACAATAGAAGAAAACAAACAAGCCTCCGTCTTCCAGTCGTCCGGGCAGTCTTCTGGATGCGTGTTGCATCTAGGGTGCGCCCTGCGACGCCCCGTGCGACAGGTCAACTGTGCTGGATCCGTCGCCGGCTGCACCCCCACCCGTGGGCATGACCCTAACACCGCCGTTTGCCCTGACGTTGGCGCTGTAGATGGCGTAAGTTCGCGATGACGTGTTCAGCTCGCCGTTGGACTGGATGCGCTTTCTCGGGCGTGGTCCGCTCTTCGGCCGGCCTGCCGTCCCTTGAACGTGCAGCGGTGGGCGGTGCTGGGGGTTGACGGTGAGGTCGTCCCATACAGCGGAATGACGCGGTAGCTCGAATCATTCGCGGCCGCGCGGAACGTTTCGAGGGAGTTCCCCTTGCAGATCAGCTCCAATGCTCGGTTGGCGGCCTCGGTCCTTGTGATGGGTGCACGAAGTAGTGTGGGCGAGGAGGGGCGAACAGACAAGAGAGTGACACGAGTGAGTTGGACAGTTGTGGCCACGTCGTGCGACAAAGGAATACGGAGTGCGATCGAGAAAAAACTCCAAAACGTTTTGGAGGTCAAGAAACAGAAAGATGGTGGATGCCTGCATGCATTTGAGGGATAAATGTGTGATACACCAGCGGCAGACGGAGGCAGGGTTGACAACCAAGCGGCGGGTTCTGCGACTAGAGATGGGCACCGGACGTGAAAAGCAATAACCGATAACCGGCTAGAAGGCGCTATTCTTATACCCACTGACCGTTTTTTTTCGGCCCCGATCAACCGCATCATATAAGGAAACGCCTACGGGCTAGCTCTCAAACTTGGGAATGTTTTGTGGGTTCATGATATACACGCCATCTTTCAATCGCGCAGTCGGTGTCTGCCGGTGTATTTCACGCACACGATCTACTGACCTAATGTAAAAAAAGAGATGGGCACGAGAAGGGAACAACTAATGAGCAATAACCGGCTAGGAGGCGCTACCCTCCAATACAAAACCGCATAACCGGATATTTTGGCGCCGGTTAACCGGGTATAACTGACTGTAAAACGCCTCCTTTTTGAATGATAACCGTCACTCAAATATGCCTGTGGGTTTCCTAATGACCGCGTATTACGGGTTATTTTTCAAACGGTCCCCATCCTTATGTGCGACATGGAGCACACCGACGATAATTGTCCTCCGTTTCAAAAGCAACTAACACATGAACAATACCTCGACAACAATGCCTCAACATCTACCCGCGCAAACGGTTATCTTCACATGGAACGATCGTGTCCCGAAAAGAACGCGCCCTAACCCTGATTGAAGCAACAACCCTTCGTGAGCCACTATTTCTAACAGTTGCCTCACATTTTGCTACCGCAATGACGTGGAGGCAGGGGATTTTGTACCTCGGGCAAAAGTCGCACGTGCAGTCGTAGTGGTGGCGATCAGCGTCGTCGCCCCAAGTCAGGTTCACTCGGTTGCTGAGAAACGAGTTCTGCTGGGGGTACATTATGTACCGGTCTCCTCCCACAGGGCTCACTGAAAGGCTGTCGTCAACGGCAGAGGCACGTACAAACAGACGGTAACGTTGCGGGCGGCCACGCAAACGTCCACGTTACGAGTCAGTCACGATGTCCGAGGTGCACACAGGTGTGTTTTCGGCGGTAGTGTACTTCGGCGCGATACAAGGGTACCGCTCGTGAAGATGAACCAGAACCTGATTGTCAGCCTAGCTTTTGCTTTTCCTACCCCGATAGGCCATGGATAGATTGGCGTCGCGGCAACCCAAACGTTACACATTCCGCCAGCATGAGTATGCTCAAGTACCGCAAAAGAGTTCGATCTTTGCGCACTCCCACCGACGTCGCTTCGTCTGTTATGCACTTGTGGTTTGTTGTGTTTGGGAGGGGCAATAACTCTATGCCAACCGAACCCGCAAAGGGGGTGCAATGCTCTCGCACCAAACGCTCTCACCAAACGAAACAGGGACGGACATACGGTGTGTTCAGCGGAGTTAACCGAAAGCCTGCTCTGAATTGGAAGCACCGCATAGACCGGCGGAAACATTGTGGGCAGCCACGAAACTATCGGAACTACTGCATAGTGAACCATGTAGAAGTATGTACACCTGAGGCGCAGAATGTGCAGTAAGGACGGGGATAGGCTAACACTCAACCCATGAGTCTGGGGCCATGCCAAAACTGAGCCAGACGCAACAGCCTACACGTCCGAGACACGGCGTCGGGAAGACGAAATTTTCCACTAAACCGAATTCATGCCGAACCCAAGACGCCCGATAGTGCCGCAGGACGAACTCCTGCTCCCGGGTCTCCGTCGCAAACGGAGTCACGATCGCGTTGTGATCGTTGACCTTGGTCTTGGCGGGGGTGTCCAGCCTCCTCGCGGTCAGTAGCACCATGTCGTGCAGGCATCCCAGCAATTGGGCAGACGTTGGGAACGGCGGCGTCCGAACACTTGTATTTGTCGGTGAAGCACGTCACGTTGGGGTTGTTCAAGACGTCCGGCAGCTCGGGGAACTCCATCGCCTTGGTGAGGAGGTTGATGTACATGGCTGTATTCTCCTTTGCTTGAATCATGGTCGCGACGTGGACGATCTTGTTGTTCGAATCCTTGAAGGAAAGGGTCCCGAACTGGCCGTTCCACACGTCCTTGAAGGCCGCGGCATCCATCGCGAAAGCCTGGACGAATGAAGAAACGGTGGGATGGAGGAAAGAGAAGCAAGAGAGAGGGGAGAGCGTGAGGGGGAGGGGGAGGAACGGTGGGCGGGGAGGGTCACCAAAATAAGAAGAAATAAGCACCTCCGCGGATGTTCGCTCTCTTGCTTGTACTTAACCAAGCAAGCCGTGCAACCTCCCCCCCCCTCCCCCATGCCGGCACGTGCCGTCCTTCCCCGGGTGTTTGCCATCGGGGTTGTTTTCGTCGCATGGCAACGACGCTGCAAAACAAGCCGATCGCTTCGTGTGATCGACAACCAGGTTGCCGCTGTGTTTTTCCTTTGATATATTGTTGCGGAACCACCATGGTTGAGTAGATCATGTTTTGAGGGGTGGACAATCGTCACTCCGCGCAAGGGGGATGATCGCACCACGTTGTGTCAAAATGGTCAAGCACCCTCGAGGCAGTTACACAGTAGTGCTTACAACTGTCTCTGGAAGTCAAAGCATCAGCAGACAATTGAAGTCATTCGCAGCTGTCATCCTTACGAAAGGAAGTAAGCACTAGAGGCCGAACACCCTCAGCAGTACGCAGCGTCCCCTTCATGCGACTCGCCAACTACCTCACGACGCTTCGCGCTTGGTGATGTGAGAGCCTGGCCCGGTCAGAACCCGGCGTGATCCGTCCCGACCTTGCATGGATGCGAGGTCAAATGGACCAACGACTACGGCATGCACGACTGTGAGTACCCCCCCCCCCCCCCCCCCCCCCCCCCCCCCCCCCCCCCCCCCCCCCCCCCCCCCCCCCCCCCCCCCCCCCCCNGACCCAGCATGCAACGCGTACTGCAGTAACCCAGCATACAACACTGACCTACATGCTTCGTAAAACGGGTTCCATGGCTACCCATATGCAAAGAAAGCAGAGCAGAGACTACCTTCTACTACTACACTACTACTGCTGTAGACAGCGGCGCTTCTACACTGTTCAAATGATCTTCGTCAAACACACGTACAACCACACACATTCACAGTTGCTTCGCAGTTACTACTGCAGGGGCACCCGTTTGTGTGTCATACAACAGTAGCTGCAGTCACACCGCATGCATGCATGGGACGGAACCCCCGCGTACCCCCCTCTTGACAATTCTTCAAGCAGGGAGGGGGGGCAACTCCTGACGTGTCTATTTCGTTTATTTTCGCTGCGTTCCTGTTAGGAGTGTTGTACGAAGTTTTAATCCTACTGTTATTATCGTAGCAGGTGTTCGCCAAGACGCAACGGAGAACTACCCGCGGACAGGGACATTCTAAATCATAGTGAAGCGCGTGCTAGCTCGCATTTCACCTGCTGAACGCCGGCAGTTGCTTGGCGCGCCGCCGCGCCGAGCAGCACGAAGAGGCTGTTGAAGTTGCCTTTGTTGTCCCACTGTTCCATTGTTTCAAAACAGCACGAAGGAAAGGGCGTAGGGAGCAAGAGAGAGGGTAAGATATCAAGTTTTGTGGTGGGCTGTCTTACAGCAGTACCCCTCTCCCCATTCTTCTCTACATCGGCGTCGCCCCTCCTCAAAATATGTTTATTTGGCTTGGCTAGGGTTATGATGCTATCAGCAGTACGACCCAAAACGGCGAGTGCAGGGCAGGGATGCTTGCATTCAAACAGTACAAGACTCGCCTGATTCCTAGTGTATGCTACGCGTGCTACGTCTATGCATCGGTATACCAACGGGCGAGATGCCACGGGCGGCGGCAATATTTGCATCGAAAAGAGCGGGAAAAAAATCGTCAAGGACGAAGCGGATCAGCAGCGCAGCGCAGCGTACTGCGCTCCATCTTATGTAGGATGCTAGGGAAGCAAAAGAACTGCAGAAGTATGGCACCACTCTGACGAGCGCACCTCCTTGTCCTATGTCATCTAAACGGTACGGACGTTCCAACTCTAACGTACGACACGATAAACGACTCACCTTGCACTCCACGATGTTGCGGTTGTCCCTCCCGAGAAGGTCGCCGTAGCTCTGGAGGAGTTGGTACTCCTTGGCGATCGCGTCCTTTCCCTTGCCGAGGATGTCCGCCCGCATCCTGCTAGCTGTCCTCTCGCTGACATCCACGCCGGAGGTTGCCTTCAGCGTCTTCACCAGCGAGGGACAGGTGATCCTGTGGTTGGCGCTCACAAGCCCCGTTGCCTCCCCCTCCACACATCGGCGGTTTATCCGCTGCTTTTTGTTGCCGGCCTGGCCGGTGCGCGCCACATGATCGAGGACCACGTCCATCACCTTCCAGGTGCCATCGGTTTGCTTGCACCCCCGCGCACGCACCGGGCAGCCAGATGTCGCCTTCCCGTTGACGATCGCTCCCGTGCAGTAATGTCGGGCCGCAGGCGTGGTTTCCAGCAAGAAAAATCCTAGAAAAGCTGCGCTCATACAAAACCTTGCTCACCAGAGCCAAAGCTCAATCGCATTCGTGACGTGTGTTCATTCTTGCGTTGAAGCAGCTTGCTGAGCCCTGAGGTGAAGGAGACAGCTGCATCACACAGCAGGAGACGGAGTACCACACCAACCACTACCACTCCCACCCATGACCCGTGCACTGTCTTCGGTTGATACCAGGGCGTCTAGCAGCAGCGCGGGTGACCCACCTTCTTTGTCGACGAGTGTCGGAGGCGCTGGTTCGTCAAGTTATTGGGCGGACCTTTACAAGTATGCGGATGGGGATTTTGATCCGTCAGACCTCTTCCCGAGCTACAATCGGACGGACAAGGGTAAGACGAGAAAAGATGGTACCGGCCCAATGTCTGCATGTCTTCAGAGGGTATCTCTTGGAGGCAGTTGATAGAAGGTGAATCACTACCTGGGCTATTCCCGCACCCTGTTCCGTTCTTGTATGTGTCAGCTGGCACATGTGTCAAGCTGCATGAATTGTGACCCACTCCTCCTCAAGCAGCAGAACGGTGTACTCTACCGGTACTACATACATCGGTCATCAATTGGTGGTACATGTAATCCGCACACTCTCTCAAGCTGAAGAATCAAAATTGAAAATAGCGTCTACATAGTAGCATGCAGCATGTAACGCGGTGGCTGTCTGTTTTCCGCGAGCATGCACAGGAACAACCATCCAGACTCACTCCTCCGTCCTCGCGTCTGCAACCAACCGCTCATTCAAAACAAAATTGCTCTCGTGCTTGTGTTGCGGGTACACAGCGAAGTGCCAGTTTGTTGTGGGATAAGAAAAACGGATATTTTTTTGCGGTTGGACGTCACCCTGGGCGACGTAGGGGCGGAGAGAGATAGAGGCCGAGACGATGAAAGCGATAGAGGAGAAAAGGGATAGTCGACCACGTCTTGATGTCTTGCAAGATCGCCAATGCACACAGCAACCAGCACGCCGCAAATTTCAGTTGCTGCTCTCGATGGTTCGTACAAGCAAATAACGAATGCCTGCATACATATTCGGAACATGAATTGATTGCCGCCATGAAACGTGAGTGAGAAAAATTCGTCGGGATTTCCGGGCCCGCTCGTTCATGCAGCCTTGGCGCTCGTCAGACTGGGACTTGGGTGCTTCTTCATCGTGCTCGGGACCTACGCGTTGGTTCGGTTCTACCGATCGAGATGGATATTGGATATTCGCACGAGGTATGTCGTGCAGATTTTGTCCATTGCACTTTTACCGGCAACTTGTTGGGTCATGCTAAGAGAGCGGTAAGCTGGCTAGCTGCCTCTTTTTCCTCCTGGTTCACCAGACCGAGGGAGTGTAGCAGTGTAGCAGTGTAGCAGTGTAGCAGTACAAAATGTGGGCTGGAAAATATATATAGTGTACGCCTCCGCCTCGTTCATTCAGTGGGGCAGGAGGGCCACCGCCGAAAGCGGCCCTCCGCAGCTCCGCAGGGCCGAATCTTTTTCCACCGGAGTGTTTCGCACTCTTCATCCTCGCTGTGACGGTTAAGCAATAGCTGGCCGGGCGGACAGCGGCAGAGGTTGGTTGGTATTTTAGCGCCGAGGCGGACACAAGATCATATCGTACATCCCCAAAACCTTGGGACGACTCTTCGATGCGGATTACCGCCACCGAGCGTTGCTTGCTTTGCTCCTGCTCCCACCGTGAGGCCCTGTTTTATTCGCGCTCATTTCCTGCAAGAGTGCGTATCGGACAGGCTCGGGTAGTTCGTAGGGCGATAGGTTGGCCCAAATAGCTAGACTCATCATCCATGCGAAAAATGGACGTGAACTAAATATTGTCACTGCGAAAAAGCGGCATTGCTTGCAGGAAGTTCTCTCCATCGATCTCATGGAGTACTTCATGCTCCGTGTTAGACTACGGGGCAGTTTACTCGAGATTTTGAAAACAATGAAACAACCCGAGACCCTATGACAATTACACTCGAGAAACGCAAGACTATCCGTGCAGTGCTCCCCGTCAAACAGAGTATACGTGCCACAGAGAGCAGCGATTGGGGCTTTTCTCCAGCCGTACATCCGGCACGATCTCTATTCGAAGAAAATCCACTTCAGTGCTGCTGTGCGGAAGTCTAAACACAACACAAACAGGGTATGCGGTCATAAGGGTCGCGTCGCGGCTTTCCAACTTGAACACCATCACTTTTAGAGGGAATCATGGAGCAAGGAGGTTAAGGAGCTCGGTGAACGCGGCACTACGCGGACATACCTCGCGGGTTCGGTTCGAACCATTCTGGGTCCAAAGGCTGCCATTCATGCACCACTGCTGCCTGTACGAACCGTGACTGACACAGACCCCGAAACTCTGTGGGGTCGTCCAAGGCACCCACGTGGCAGTCTGAACTTCTGATGTAGGCTCCAGTTCAGGGTTTTTGATGGTTTTTAAACGCACAATGAAAGTGTCCTCCTGGGCTACCGTTTGCATGGAAGGTGGTTCGGTTTCCTTACCCTCTTCGTACAATGTGACTGCAATGCACACTATACACGCGCATGACGCTATCAAGACGAGCTTGTCGACCATGCATTGTACCGCAAACTCTGATGGGTCCCGGTTAATTAGGAAACGCTATACGGGTGGCCAAAGGGAGGTTTCAACTTCTCCGTGGTCAGGTTGGGACGTTGAGGATCGACCTTGGACACATGCAGTCTACTGTACCCTGCCAGTCCGCCCTATTGCGGACCAACGCCGCGCAACCCTTGATGCGGGGCTAGCTGCATACGTTGGCGTACTGACCCTAGGGAGATTGTGTGGAGATTGTGCGCCAGATACAACCTACCTTGGTCACCCGTGCAGTGCGGCTCTCTCGGTTTCGCGGGTTCTATCACCAATCTTGCTAACGTTCGAAAATTTTCCTTGTCAACTTCTCGTACGAACTATGAATGAATCACTACAGCAGTAGACCGGGATTCCAATTTGTCACGTACCGCATGGCCAGGTCTGCGCACCTGGTCACGCTCCAAGGTGTGAGCTTGCTTTTTTCGATGCTCGTCACCGTGAACGATGCCACCACCATCGTGTGGGACAGCGGGCTCGACTGGTTCTGGATATCTCTGCTGCTCTTCTTCGTCTCGCCTGCGTTGTTCGGGAGCTACATCTGCCGCGCGCTCCGCCTGGCAGTGGTTTTCAATCCGAGGGCGAAGCGTGCGCTGCCGTGGCTCATCCCGGTAAAAAGTCTCGATTTTTTTGTGGTGACATTGGGCCGAGTGTTTTGTACGTCTCTTCTGCAAGGCATGTTTTCGGACGAAGGTTTGTCTGGATCCGCGATTATATTTTCCTCTTGAAATGAGACTTAATGCGTTGCTATTGTTCAACTCTGCACGCGTTCATCCGCGTCGTCCAACCTTCGGTCGAATCACTTGGTTATACAGTGGCGTCGCCAAATGCCACCCGCAACCGTGATAGCGTCCCTCTCTCGCCGCCACACGATCTCGGACCATCGTTTTAACCGCTCCTCCTCCCCACTACCCACCGTCTCTCATTTTCAATTGTCTCGCGTTGGCTCTGCGTCGGTGTGTGCCTCTTGTGCCCCATTTATCCGACACTTTCGGACAGCAGGAGCGCAACTACCTGGCGGTGCTGCTGCTCGCAAGCATAGGAATACTGGCAATCCCCATCTACCAAGAGTACACCTTGGAGGTCTGGTAAGATCGAGTACCTTGCAAACGAGAACACACCGTGCATCAAATCGCTGCATGCGACGTTTGTTGCACACAACAAATGAAGACTCCCCCCATACCCCGTCCCCCTCGGTGTTTGCCATCGGGGTTGGGTTTTCGTCGCTTGGCAACGACGTTGTAAAACAAGCCAATTCACTTCGTGAACTCGGCAACCAGGTTACCGTTTTTGTTTTTACCTCTTTTTTTTTTGGGCGGTAACCATAATGGTGGTCGAGTAGATCATGTTGTGCGGGGTGGAGAACCCTCGCTCCGCGCAAGGGGGATGATCGCACCACGTTGTGTTAAAATGGTCAAGCACCCTCGAGGCAGTTACACAGTGCTTACAACT